TTGAACCACCAGCCTTCTGGTTAGCCGTCAAGTGCCTTAGGCACTATGCTACCAGAGCTCCTTAGAATGGGTAGAAATTACCAAACATCATACTGATTGTTATTCCTATCTATTCAACAGAAAAATTTCCCTCCCTGCCCAATATAAGCATTGTGGTTTCCAGCAAAATACAAGACCTTCAAGTGATTGTTCTGACTCATAGGAGCCTAGGGAGGCTCTGTTAAGGAATAATACTATTAATTTTTTCACCTTTCTTCCGAGGAGTGGCTGATGGGTTTGAAACGCCAGCCTTCTGGTTAGCAGTTAAGTGCCTTAGGCACTACGCTACCAGAGCTCCTAATTTTTTCACAGGATGGTTATATAAGGAAAAATTACATAATTATGAAAATGGTGTATATATTCTAAAAAAAGTGTAAAAAACTTACTTTTTTTCATATTTCGTAAAATCTTCAAACTCTACAAAAATGGAGAAAAGTAAAATGTTAGTTTTTCCTATGAAGTCCAAATACTTTCATCAAATAGAAATATAGGCTGCAGCCAAAAGGATTAGCTTCCTAAAAGAACCATGAAAAGGCACATTAATTTTCATTAAAATTCAGTGAAAAGTCTCTGCTTGATCTTACCTTGTTATTTTTCCCTACCTTCAAATTTTACATACTTAGAAATAATGCTATCAGAATATTGGGGGGGGGGGGAATGAAGCTCCTACTTGTCTTCTTTATTAAGACCATTCCAGAACCCACAATAACTTCTAAAGTAGCTGTGATACACAGACATTCCATTCTATCCAAGAATTTCTACCAATCATACTCTGTACTCAGTTTACTAAGACCGTCTTCCATACTGTTAACCATACTACTCCTTCTCTCTTCTTTCAGCAAACCAGTGCGTTCTGCCTCCTTTATGGTGGAATCTCAAACTTATCTCTTCCAGAAACCTACTCAAATTTCTTCTTTATGCAACATTTCCTCTGCATGTGTTTTTAATCTGTTCCATTGGTGTTTTATTCTTCTTGATAATTCACATGTTGTTTCCCATATAGGTATTCTGTTCCACCAGATTAACTGTAGTCTTTTCAAGGACAGGTAGATATCCTTCATGACATTTCTGTTGTCCCAATATCTAACAGAAATGTACTCTTCTATATGTTGTTGTTGTTGTTGTGTGCCGTTGAGTCGGCCCCGACTCATAGCGACCCCTCCTTGGGTTTCCGAGGCAGTATCACTACGGAAGTAGGATTGCCCAACCTTCCTTCCGAGGAGTGGCTGGTGGGTTTGAACCGCCAGCCTTCTGGTTAGCAGTCAAGTGCTTTAGCCACTATGCTACCAGAGTAGATACTTAATAAATTATTTTTAGAAAACATTTATATTTTTTCAATTGATAATTTATTTATAATTTAAAATCAGAAAGTACATAAGGGAAGATGGTTAAATCTAACCCTTCCATCCTTGTTCCCCATCTACCCAGTTTCTAACCTGCCCCTGTAGAGAACCACTGTTAGTTTCTTGTTCTTACAGAGTTACTTATGAATATATAAGTAAGTACAAATAGATATAGTTCCCTCTTTTAAGTAAAAGTTAATAAATTATATATAAAGACATCAAGAGTCTTCATTTTATTTCTAGCTTTATACTATTCCATTGTATGGATATGCCATGATTTATGATATATTTAATCAGTTCCTCTAATGGGTAGCTTTTATGTTGTTTCCAGTCATCTGCTCTTATAAATAATGCTGCAATGTATAATCTGGCATGTATATCATTTTATGTATGTGCAAGTATATTTGTAAGGGAATTTCCTGGAAGTGGAATTGTTGGGTCAAAGGATATGTGCATTTGTAGTTCTGATAGATAGTACTAAATTGTCCTTCTCTATAGAAGTTGTTACCAGGAGGGACCAATCCCTGGAGAAGGACATCATGCTTGATAAACTAGACCAAAACCAAAACCAAACTCACTGCCGTTGAGTTGGATCTGACTCAAAGCGACCCCTCCTTGTGTTTCCAAGGCAATATCTCTACAGAAGTAGGTTACCCAATCTTCCTTCTGAGGAGTGCCTGGTGGGTTTGAACTGCCAGCCTCTGGTTAGCAGTCAAATGCCGTAGACACTACGCCACCAGAGCGCCTTGGTAAACTAGAGGGTCAGTGAAAAAGAAGAAGCCCCTCAGTGAGATGGATTGACACAGTGGCTGCAACAGTGGGCTCAAGCAGAGCAATGATTGTGAGGATGGCACAGGCCCAGACAGTGTTTCATTCTGTTGCACACAGTGTTGCTATGAGTTGGAACCAACTCAATGGCACCTGAAAACAATACAACGACACAGAAGGTGTATCACCTGACATCCCCACCAATATGTAGGACTGTGCTTATTTCCCCATAGCCTCCCTAATAAAATGTGTAATTAAACTTTTGGAATTTGTCAGTCTGATAGATGAGAAAATAATATTTAAAATATTTCAATATTAATATTTAAGTATTTTATCCATCTGGAATTGATTCTGGTGTAGATATAGGATCTACAATTTGACCTAATTGCTGGGTCAGATGGTATCTCCAATTCCAACTTTCTAAGGAATCATCTCACATCTGTTGTACATAGGGTTGCTATGAGTTGGAACCAACTCAATGGTGGGTTTTTCCCCCCATCCCAGGTGGTTATCCAGTTGACATAATACCAGTTATTAAAATGTCCATTATTTTCCCACTGATTTGAAATGCCACTGTCATCATATACTAATTCCTAAAAATATTTAGATCTCCTTTTTGTACTTTCTGTTCTGTTATGTTGGTGTGTGGCTATTTTCATGCACCAGTAACATATCATTTTCATCTTTGAGTCTTCACAGTGTTTTCATATATAGTAAGGCTATCTATCCTCTTTGCATTGCTTTTTATCTTTCTTTCTCTTTTTTAGTTTTCTGCCTATTCTTGCTCTTTTTCCCCTCATATAAATTTTGACTAGTTTGTCTAGTTTCAAGGACAAAAAAAGTTAGTATGTTTATTTGGCATGTTTTAAATGTATAAATTAATCTTTGTGAGAAACTTAACTAAGATGTATGTTTTTCATCTTTATGGTTTTGTTGAATTAATTTTGATTACTATGACAGCAATAATCTATTGTGAGGATATTTAATTTTCTATCCTAATGATAGGGGAGGAAAACTCAGTAATGGAAAGACTCTGACATGTTTCCTTAAACTCCAGTATTCTTTACCTTACTCCTTGTGAAACTCTTTCCAGGAGTCTTAAATATCTGTTTTGAAGAAGTTGCATTTTCCATGGTGTCAGGACATTTGGTAGAATAACTTTCTACAGATTGAACCTGCATACCTAAAAAAACAAAAAGAAGAAGAAGAAAAGGAAAGGAAAAGTGTTCGTTGCATAGTTTCTTAAGCTTTCTTGTTATATGTAGGTACATGTTCAATAATTCTTAGACTGGCCTTTTTAGACGTTATGGGTTTTATAATACGTTCTTCTTATCTTACTTAATTATTCTTTATACCTTTCCATTTAGGTTCTACTTTACTATTAACCTTTAGCATTCTCATTTTTATAAGCTTTTTTAAAAATGCGTTTTATTGAAATATAATTTACGTATAGGGAAATACACAAAACTAAAGTGACATGGGTCAGTGCATTTTTTTTTTTTTTTTTTTTTTTTTTTTTTTTTTTGCAGTATTCCCTCCCTTCCCCTCCCACTCCTGGCAACCAACAAAGAAAGTTTCCCTCCATATACAAATTTTTCCTTGACCCTCCACAACAATGAATTAATACTATATTTGTCCTTTGGTGATTGACTTATTTCACTCAGCATAATGTCCTCCAAGTTCATCCATATTATGTGGTGTTTTGCAGACTCTACATTATTCTTCAGTGCTACATAGCATTCCAGTATGTGTATGCATCATAGTTTGGTCATCCACTCTTCGACTGATGGGCACATAGGTTGTTCCCATCTTTTTGCTATTGTAAATAGTGCTGTGATGAACATGAGCATGCATGTATCTGTTCCTATCCTGGCTCTCACCTCTCTAGGATGTATACCTAGTAATGGGATTGCTGGGTTAAATGGTATCTCCAGTTCCAACTTTCTAAGGAATCGCCATATTGCTTTCCTCAGTGGTTGTGACACTTCACAGTCACATAAGCAGTGTATGAGAGTCCCAATCTCTTTACATCCCCACCAGCATTTGTTATTTTCTGTCTCATTGAACCTTGTTATCAGTGCTGGGGTGAGATGGTATATCTCGTTGTTGTTTTGATTTACATCTCTCTGATGGCCAATGATTGTGAGGATCTTTACATGTATTAGCTGACCACCTGAATATCCTAATTGGTTAAGTGCATGTCTTCTGCCCGTTTTTCTATTGGATTCTTAATTCCTTTGGTGTTGAGGCATTGGAGTTTTTCATCAGTCTTAGAGATAAATCCCTTGCCAGATATGTAATTATCAGCAAATATGAATTTGTCGCTGTCATTTTTGTCATGTGCTTTTTTGTGGTGTCGATTTCTTTGTTCCATATAATTTTCTATGCTGAGCTCGTTTTGTTTATGAATCATGTTATCACTTCCTTCATTGCTATTGTTTTAGTATTTGCTGAATATTTATGCTGGTCCTCTTTTTTATTTTGATGTGAAGGTTTATCATTTTTCTTTGAGGTTACCCTGTGATTTATAGTTTTCTTCCCAAGTGTAGAACAGTCCATGACTTCCCTACCATCTAGAAGTTCTGTAATGACACGTTTTTTCCCTCTTTTTGGTTTGTAGTTGTCCTCATTTGTTGGTTGGTGTCTCTGGTTCCCTGTTTACAATCTTGTAGGCTAATTTACTTTGGATACTTCCATAACTGGGTTGGTTTCTGGGTTATATGATTATTATGTGTGTTAATGGTCAGTTGTTTTTGGCTATTGTTGCTTCTCTGTCCAAAGGGCTCCCTTTAGCATCTCTTGTAAGGTTGGTCTGGTTTTAACAAATTCCCTTAATTTCTGCTTATCTAGAAATGTCCTAATTTCACCATCAT